TCTCAAGCCAGGAGCAGGAAAGGCGCTCCCAGAAGGAGTGTGGGTGGCCGCCTACGGAATGTCTGGGGCAGGAAACAGGAAGTGCACGCAGACAAAAGCTGCTGCATTCTCTGGGTTCTAGACACTTTTCAGAAACTAGCTCACGTAACTTCACCCCAGCTGCTGAGGGACACTGAGGATGGTGACAGCTCACTTGGTTAGGGGACAGAACCAGGTGGTCTGGTTCCAGAGTTCTCTGGTGGGTCACCATTCTGTGTCCGGAGTCCCTGGTATAGAGGGTGATCTGGCCTCCATCTTGGATGCGGGGTAGGAACAGAAGTGGTGGACCACCTTCCCACAGGGTGGTCTCGGGCCTTTTGCCACCTAGTGCCAGAACTGAAGTAAGGCCCTTGAGACCCTTCCTGCCCTCCAGTCTCCTCTGAGGTAGTTCAGAGGTCCCTGTTCCCTCCCCCCAGCCTCTCCCTTGGCAGCAAACTGGGCCACTTCATTCTAAAGGGATTTGACTCTCCCCGTGAGGACTGGAGACTGGTGAGAAAGGATTTAGGGATTAGACAGTGATACCCGGGAAGGCAAAGGACTTAATCGGCGGGGGTTGGGTTCAGGTGTGGGAAGTGGGGCTGGGAAAGGATTTGTATCTCTTGACAAAGCCAGGGTGGACTGCGGAAGCAAGGAGGAAGTGGGGCCCCAGGGGAGGAGAGGGATGGACCTGAGTTCTCATTTTCTTCTTGTGACTTTACTGATAACCCATAGCAGCAATAATAGAGGCTCTCACCCCAGGCACTCACTGATCTGCCAGTGACGATGTCACCTGAAAGCATCCCAGTGGCATCAGAGAGAAAGGCAAAAGATTAGTTTTCACTCCAGGCTACTGGCACACTCAGAGAAGAGAGGTAACCTGAGGCAGCCGCACCCTACAAGGCCAGGTTAAGGGGGGACCTTGCTATAGGGCTGCCCTCTGAGTTCAAGGGCTTCCTAGAATGGCCCTGGCGTTGTAGAAGTAGAGTGTTCCACAAATATTTGTTGAAGGGTTTAAAAGACCGGACTATGTTTCCCAAATCTCTGTGCCAATCCTTGTGCCACTTTGCCTGCTATGGGCATCAGGAGATCTGAGGTCAGGGCACCAGGGGAGGGACTTTGGTTCTGAGGGCTATGTTCGCCATTTGATGAGGAAGCCACAGAGGCCTGGAGGCACAAGCCAGCAGTCATAAAGGGAACACGGTGTCCCCATGCCCACTCCCACCCCTGTGCACACTGCCGCTGGAGAGCCCCTAAAACACATTAGTTCTGGGACACGGAACAAGGAGGCCACTCAGGACTCCCAGGCTAGAACTCTTCCTTGCCCAGAGCTGCTCCCCAGAAGAGTCGAAACCCCAGCGCCCTAACTTTCAAGGCTAAGGCTCCCAAGCGTCTCTATGAGTCCACCACACTTCCTCAGCTCCCAGTACAGTGCCCTGAGAGCCCTGCACCCCTGTTGCCAACGCGTACCTCCAGGCTGTCTGGCCCTGGAGGCCAGTCCAGGTGGCAGTCACAATACAGAAGAGTCCTTGTTAAGGTCTGGAGAAATGGGCTTCTGGTTGGCAGAGGTCACATTTCAACGGGCAGATAAGGGAGAAGTTTCTGGAAACAGCTTTGGGTCAGGGCTTCAAGGGCCAAGGAGGAGCTGGTTGGAAGAAATAAAGAAGACCTCGGGCAGAGGCAGGAGGTAGAAGTGTGTTGAGGGAACAGCAGGGGACATCTCTGACTGATGAGAAAGGGTATATACAGAAAGGGGGACTTTTGAAGCCACAAGGGATGCTGGGAAGAGCTGGAGTAGGCCTTGAAGTGAGTCAGTGGGATTGGGGTGACTTCTGAGGGAACTAGGGAGCCAGCGATGGTTCTTGACCAGAGGGAAGCAATATACTTGCAGGGAGGAAGAATTGTGGGGCAAAGGGTAGGAAGTAGAGGAAAGGCTAGCATAGGACAGAGAGTCTCAGAAGCCAACTCCGAGGAGTTTACCGGACTATTTATCTATGATTTCTATTATCAAATTAGCCAATGGCTTCCTGGTGGACTGAACACAGCAAATCTCAGTGGACGCAATGAGCAGCCAGAGAACTGGAAAGGGACAGACAAGAGGGAGAATTTTTTGCTTGGACCTTTTTCTTGGGTATCTACAGATATGGGCTTGGGGAGCAACTCTAGGGACTTCATCCTTGGGATAAGCATGTCCCTTGTGGTTTTCTGAGTGGGCCCTGCAGCAGAAGGCACAGTCAGGTGTGTCTTGACTGACAGCACTCTTCTGGAACCAGCCCTTCGGCAGGTGCCTCCACACATCAGGTGACTGGCCACTTTAGAGAACGTTTGGCCAGCACTTCTAAGAGAAGTCATCTGCACGGTCCTTGCCTTATAAACTGCAAGAGGCTGCACCACCAGAAGGGGCTGCGCTCCTTTCCTTTAGTAAGAAGCACACTGTCCCCACCCCCGGAGACTCTTAAAGGTCTCGCATCCAGTGAAGAAGGCAGCTCTGTCCTGTGCTAAATCAGAAGCCATAACTAGGGCTGGGACACTTGCATTACCTGGCAACTCTGTTGTGGTCAGGCTCAGAGGTGTCAGGCACTGGCTGCCCCTCAGCCCACACCAGGGGCACAGCCAAGTCCTTTCTTATGCCATGAACAGGCCTTACCATCTGCCTTGACTCTGGGTGAGGAGAGACCTGGATTTGAGGTAGCTGAGGGTTACTTCTGCATTAATTAATTCATAAAGGAATGAAGGAGTGTGTTCAACTGATAGCTTAGCTTCCTTGATCTGTCACTGGGCACTCTATATCTCTTGTACTCTTTGAGCCCCAGCTTCCCCTACTATTAAGTGAGGCCCCATGAACTCTGTGGGATGCCGCCTGTTTCCCCTTCTGTCCAGACCACCGCCAGCACCAGCACCGAGCTTTGGTTTGAAGCCCACCACATTCTCTCCTTCCCCCTCTTTTCCCCTCCAGTTTTTGTTATTTGTTTGAGCCCAGGCTGGCCTTAAATTTGTGATCCTCCTGCCTCTGCCCTGAGTGCTGTTTTTTTTTTTGTTGTTGTTGTTGTTTGTTTTGTTTTGAGACAGGATTTCTCTGTAGCTTTGAAGCCTGTCCTGGAACTAGCTCTTGTAGACCAGGCTGGTCTCGAACTCACAGAGATCCACCTGCCTCTGTCTCCCGAGTGCGAGTGCTGGGATTAAAAGTGTTCACCCCCACTGCCTGGCTTTGAGTGCTGTATATATACATACCACCACACTCCATCCCTGTCTACGGGAGCCTCTACTAGGGGATGCAGGATTTGTGGGGACTCTAGAAGGTAGATCTTAATAAGCAAGATCACACCAGGGTTTTAAGCCCCCCACTCCCACCCCATGCTGCCTCTGCATCTCTGGTTGTAGCCACACTTTGCATCTACCAGAACTTAGCTCATGCTACTGTGCCAATAGAGGTTGAGAGGTCCTTCTTCCATGTTCCCACATCTTGAGGTGCCAGTCAGATTCTACTTTTTCCATGGAGCCTGCTAGTGTCCCTTCATCCAAAGAACGTTGTCCTTTCTGATCTCTTACTGTTAGATCCTCTCCGTGGCCGTCTGCCTTGCTTTTGTATTCTCTTCAGTAGGTGTGGGACCAAAGGGTGGTGCGTGAACATTTCTGGATTCCAGAGCAATGCCTACTACCTGACATGCAGTAGGACAAGAATGTGTCCCTGGGCTTGTGACCAGGTGCTAGGTGCATGGAAATAGACCAAAGTGGCTGGGGACTCTGGCAGGAGGAGGGGCTGTTGGACTCTGAAAAGAGGAAATTGCTTTATGGTGAAGGGCAGAGGGAGTAACTGGGTGGAGACAGTCTGATGGCACAGGCTGGACATGAAGCTGCCATGAGTCTTCCCACAAATCATGTGTCACTAGTGGGGAGCCCACAGGCCCTTGACCAGATGGGAAGCAGAGAAGCCACAGCAGGGCTCTGTGGGCCCTGGTTTCCACGGTTTCCTCTTTGTCTAGCCTATGGCTGACTTCTGACCAGGCAGCCAGCAAGGGATGCCTGTGTAGGGCCAGCTAGGAAGTGGTCGCAAGAAGTCAAGTCTGAGAATTACATGCATTAATTCCCTTTTAGCCTCCTGCTGCTTACAGGCCCTAAATCACCCCCAGGTAGTGAAGGCAAACAATGCAGAGGGGCAAAGGGACTTGGAGAAAGTTGTGGACAGTGGGCACTCAAGCCCAAGCCTCCAGATTTCCAGAGAGGAAGCCACACACGCCAGCTGAGATGTGATAGCTTCAGGAGTGGCTCCCAGAGTGAAAGGAAGGTCAGACACAGAGAACTGGGGCCTGGGAGGGGGGAGGCCATTCTTCCTTGCCCCTCAGCAAGACACCACGTTCTTCCCAAGCCTATTCTACAGGTAGAGAAAAGGGGGTACCAACTCTGGTTTGTTTGTTTGTTTGCTTGCTTGCTTGTATTCTAGGCTAGCCTCAAACTCCGTAAGTAACTAAGGGTGATCCTTGAACTTCTAATTCTCCAGCCTCCATCTCCCGAATGCTGGGATCACAGTCTGTGTAGAAATATGCCGTCATGACCATGCAGTGCTGGAGATGCAACGCAAGGTCGCGCATCCTAGGCAAGCCCTCTACCACTAACTGAGTTACATCGGCAACCCTGGGTGTTGCCTCTGAATGACCCCCAAGCCGAGCAGGTAGTAGTGATCATAAGTGGAAGGCAGAGTCTACACCACAGTTACTAGAAGCTGAAAGACAGTCGGGGGCATCCTTTCCCAGTGGGCACAAGGAGAGCTGTCAACATTTCGGGGTAAGAGCAGCCCAGCCCAGCCCTGTGGAGTCACTCCTTGGAAGAGGTCGTTAGCCAGCTCTTTTCAGCCTCCTTTTGATTAAGATGAGGAGTACCGCCCAAGTAGCTCAGGTGTCTGGCTCTCCTCCAGGGCCTCTGCGCGTCCGCCCCGCCTCTCGGGCTCCTTTAAGAGGCGGGTCTTGGTCGCAAGCCCCAGGGCCTCGGCCAAAGGCTGGGACTTTACTCCGGCGGCGGCGGCGGCGGCAAACGACTCGGAGCTCCATCAGCTGCCGCAGGCACCTCGCCTCGAGGCTGAGCCACGATGAGCGGCAGAGTAGGTGACCTGAGCCCCAAACAGGAGGAGGCATTGGCCAAGGTGAGCCTGATCTTGTCCCAGTTGTGGCCTTCGCCCTCCAGCTGGAAGCCGCTGCTAGGGAAGGTCCCCGCGAGCAGGCGACTGAGGGAGAGGCGGCCAGTCGCCCCCGCTTGGCTAGTGCCTAGCGGACCGCTTCTCGCTCAGTGTGAGGACCTCGGGAAGTTTGGACATCGCGGTCTCCAGCACGAGCAGCCCTGGCGGTGCCCCCTGGGAAGAAGTGGTTGCTTGGAAGCCCTCAGAAGCGGCTGAGGGCACAAAGGCAACATTCATCCTCGGGGCTGGCAGGGACTGGCAGCAGGGCCGTGGGACAGAGGCAGGGCCCCAGGTTTCCTCCCATTTCCGGGAGGTTTTCCTCTTACGGAGACAGCGGCACATGGAAGGGTCCTGGACAGCTCCGTGGCAAACTCCCCAGAGCCCTTGCGAGGCATCAAGTCACTGTGTGACCTTGGGCCAAGCACTCACCTGTGTGTGTTCTTTGATGAAGTCAGAAGAGGGTGGCCGCGGGGCACCTCTGTGTGAAGTCTTAAGATTCTGGGACTAACTGGGTTGAGTTCCTTTCCGAGAGAAGAGCCCTCCTCCCTCTGGCAACCCAGACCCTTGGCTGGCAAGGAACTTAGTGGTGCCACTCAGAAAGAAAGGATAGGTCCAGGCTTTGCCTTGGCACATGGGCAGATCGGCAACTATCTATTCCGTTCAAGTTCAGGGGCTGGCCCTGCCGCCGGAAAGACTAGTTGCACTGGATCGGATTTGGTGGGGTCCAGCCCCAGCGTTCGCTCCACAGCCAGGCAGTTTCTTACTTGTGCTAGAGTGTAGCAGCAGATGTGGTTGCTGGGGGTGGCTTTTTTCCCCATGCCAAGTTTACTGTTGACCTGCAGAGGAAGTCTGGCGGACGTGGGTTTGGTGGTGATTAAACTAGGGGCTGCTAGGTAAGGTCTCGGTGAGGGTGGCCTCCCCTTGCAGTTTAGATGACCATTGTCCTAATACTGGGAGCTGCTTTGGGGGGATGGGAGGGTCTGACCTAAGGCAAAGGGTAGAGGTGGCCATTCCTCATTGGTCCCCTCTGGGGGTGTCCTATAGGTCAGTGACCAGGTAAAGGTCACTGCTGGAGCAGAAGGCTTAGGGAGAGCAGCGGGGGGCCTACTCTCCCCTAGAGCAGATGAGAGGTTGGGGTTAGATGTGGCCTTCCCTTGGAGTCACTGTTTACCCCACTTGGTGGCTACCTGCTGGAGCTGCCCCCTCCATCTGGGCTGTCACCTCTCTCCTTCCCTCTTCTCTTTTGTAGTCTTTGGAGCTCAGCTCGGCCACCGGTTTTGAATGAAGGCATTTGAGACTACCCGCTTCCTTCCCTCTGCTCTCATTACCCAGGGGGCGGGCAGACTGCAGAGGGAAGAGCCTGGGATCTGGACTCAGATCTGTATCCCAGCTGTTGGGGGTGTTGCCTGAGCCTCTTGCTTTCATCTCTTCATCTGTAAAATGTGACAGCGACACCTCTTGCAGCTCTGGGAGAGATGGGAGACACAGAACCCAGATAATGGCTGTGCACAGGACAGGTGCTGGGCACACAGACAGTACTCCCTGTGGCTTGACCAGAGTGTCTGCTAACGGTGTTGATGACTGTTCGCTGGGAGTACACCCACTTGCTCAGAAGTGAGGCAGGGCAGTGTCCTAGTCCCTTTCGGGGCCCTTCTCTCCAGCCCGACACGCCTCGCAACACTGCCCACAACCTCACTCAGCCAGAGGCTACAACAGTATGTCAAGGAGGGTTCTGGCAAAGGCCCCCAGTGGAGGGTCCCTTTGGGAAGAGTGAGGTTGGGGAGCTCCCACTCATCCAGTTGTCTCTCCCTACAGTTTCGTGAAAATGTCCAGGATGTGCTGCCCACCCTGCCCAATCCAGATGACTATTTTCTCCTTCGATGGCTCCGAGGTGAGGGGAGGTGGGCGTGGGAGGCTGGGGCAGGGGCAGGGGCAGGGGCGTGTTCTGGGCAATGGAATGATATCCTCTGGAAACCCTGGCAAGCTGAGACAAAAGGATGGCTAACGCCATCCACCCCAACCCTTCTACAGGATACAGACACAGAAGCCCAGAGAGGTGAAGGGACTTGCTAGGTGAGCTGCAGTCAGCAAGAAGACCCATACCTCTGGGTATAGACGGTTAGCATCCTTTTCATCTACCCTGCAAATCTGCTCTGCAGACATGAAGGAAAATCAATGCCCAGAAAGGCCCCACTCAGTGGGAAGTTGGAGGCAGAGCCGAGATTAGAACCAGGGTCCTGGTGCTGTCATCTTGAATGAAGGGCACTGTGTATGGGGACTGAGGAGGGTGCTCCCTCCCCATCTTGAGTTCTAGTTTCAGTCATGTGCCAGCTTGGTTGTGTCACCTGGGCCAAGGTCACACATCTCTAGGCTCCTCTTCTGAGAAATGGATTAGACATGGTGCCCAGCTTTTTTGCAAGATAAGGCACGGCAATGTCTGTGGAGCGACATGAACATGTTGCTGCTAGTGTCAGGATCAGACTCAGCCTCCATGCCTTGTACCTGTCTGTGCTCTTCCCTCTTCTTATCTGTCATCCGAGGCATGTGCCACCCTTCTGCGCTCTTCTGACACACTTTCACTTTTCTTCATAGAAACTTTACTACTAGACAGAAAACTGAGAGAGTTCCGCTGCGTCTGACTAGCAGAGCTCTGGTTGTGCCGGGGAATTCTGTGGCAGACGTCGGTCAGACCTGCCTTGTGTCTGCGTACTCACACATCTCCCAGCCCAGGAAGACCTGCGATAGATAAAAAAGATGCCCTTTTTGCTTTCCAGAACTTTAATAAAGCTGGCATCTTCTTGAAGACCTGCTAGCAGCACCCGAGGACAGGTGTACCCAGGAGAGCCATGTGGGGCTCACGGGCCCCTGGACTTATCACCTGCTCACCCTTACCCCACTCCCCGATGTGATCTGGCCCCTCTCCCAGTTTACCTAGAGAGAGTGGAGGGGTGGCGAGGGGGTGACAATGAAGTCTGTCTATGCTGGAGGAAATTTTGGCCTAGCATTTGCTGAAAGGCTACAGCTAAAGGCAGGTGGGTGGAGGAGTGGGAAGATAGTAGCCTCCTTAAAGGGCCAGTTGCAAGATGATCCAGCTATGGAGATTCTGCTAGAAGGAAGCGAGAGAAGTCATTGAACAACTCTGCAGCTCTCTTTTATTTAGGCACAGGCCAGTGTGAGGTTTTGGCAGCTGGTCTCCCAGACACTAAGCTTTTGCTATCGGAGTCCTGGGATGGGATAAACCACTTGTCTAAGGCTCGATAGTTTAATCAGGACCCGCATCTGGTACTAGCTCCTCCCTTGCAGGATGGTGATTCTCACTCTCCAGATGAGAAAACTCAGGCTCAGACCGGGCAAGGGACTTAAAGGCGCAAGGAAATGGAAAGCGTGCTCAGAGTAGAGTCCAGGGCCCTGGATTCCCAGCCAGCACCTTTTCCAGTAAGCCACAACATCCTTCCCAGGGAATGGCTCCTGAGGTCAAGCATTGCTTCGTAATCGTTTTGGGGCTGCTAAGGAGCAAACCCAGGTCTGGGGCATGCCAGGCAAGCATTCTACCACCCAGTTGCATTTCTGGTTTCAAATTCTGCTTCTGAGCAGAGGAAGTTTCCCCGCTGTAGCTCGTTTGTGCCTCACATTTTCTGGGCAGGAGCTCTGCCTACTCAGACCCTATTACGAATTTGAATTGGGGTTTTTGTTGCCTTAAAAAAAAAAAAAGCACTCTTTCTCCCCCTCATCCCTTTGATTCTAAAGGAGTCTTTTGCAGTAGAATGTGGTATGAGCTTGGGGTTCACTTCTCTCTGGCTCTCCCCAGCAGTCAGCTGGAAGTGAGATCCCGGTCCCTGCAGCAAGGAAGGCCAGTGAGCAAGACAGAATAGAGGTGGGAGGAAGCCTGGGAGAGGGAGAGTGTGACTGAATGAGTCTGCAGCTTACAGGGCTAGGGTGCAGGCAAACCAGAGCCCAGGCTGCCTGCTCCCGGACCGGGTTATCATGCAGTGCCCCATGCCAGGCTTCCAGCTGCTTCTGAGCAGGGCAGCAGGAGCCTAGAAAGACCTGACTCAACAGACATGGTGGGGAAGATCCTGAATGTTGGACCTTGGCAGGTAGGGTTAACTGGAGAAGTTCTCCTGGATAAGGGCACTCAGTATACTACTCCTGGATCCCTGTTCTCCACCAAGATAAGGGCTCTCCTCTCTTGAGGGGAGTGTCCTTTCTCTGAGAAACTCCCATTTTCACGGTCTAGCTCCTCTGTTACAAAGGATAGTCAGTTCAAGCTTCTCAAGTGGTCTGGTCAGGCATATGCAGTATCTAGAAACACACAAGATAGGAGAGCTGAGATGCAGACCCACGTTACATTCCTCTAAAAGCTGCCCGGGGCTGCTGGAGGCACAGGAAGGGTGGCAGTGAGGAGAGTGGCTGCTCCATCTGCCAGGAAGGATCTGGCATGCACAGTGGCAGTGGCCTGGCCAACTCTTTCTCTTGTTGTTTTTTTTTTAATATTTTATTATTTATTATGTATACAATATTCTGTTTGTGTGTATGCCTGCAAGCCAGAAGACTCCATTACAGATGGTTGTGAGCCACCATGTGGTTGCTGGGAATTGAACTCAGGACCTTTGGAAGAGCAGGCAACGCTCTTAACCTCTGAGCCATCTCTCCAGCCCCCTTTCTCTTGTTTTTAAGAAGTTTTTTTGAAATGTGTAGTAGGAGAGGGAGAGGGATAGCGGGCGAGAGATTGGGCGTGAGGAGTGCACGCCACAGTGCGCACATGGCGGTGAGAGAACTGTGGATTTACCCACCTTTGCCTGGCCTCTGGGGAGCAAGCTCAAGTTGTCAGGTTGCCGGGCGTGCACATTAAGCCCCGCTACCCACTGAACTATCTTCTCTCTTTTTAAAATCTTATTTATGTATTTTTTTAAGTATGAATACTCTGTCTGCACATTTGCCTGCAGGCCAGAAGAGGGCATTAGATCCCATACAGATAGTTGTGAGCCACCATGTGGGAACTGAACTCAGGACCTCTGGAACAGAGCAGCCAGTGCTCTTAACCACTGAGCCATCTCCAGCCCACCCACTGAACCATCTTACTGATCTTTTTTTCTTTCTTAAGATAGTGTTTCAATATGTAGCCCAGGTTAGCATAAATTTCCAATGCGGCTCAGGCCGACTTCAAGGAACCACACCCAGGCTTGATCAGACCTTTAGACACACTGCCCTGACTCTGATGGAGGACTGGACTTCACGAATGCAGACTCAGGGTGTATGGTCCCCTGCTCCCAGAGCACAGTGCTGAAGGACAGCTGACAGCCCAAAGGGCAGCCTGTATGTTCGGTTCCAGGGCTATCAGTAGATCTAGATGTCAATTAAATCAGTGGAGGATGTATAGCCAGGAGAGATAGTTCGTAGGTCAGAGGCCACACCCATCAGACTCTCTGGAATGGAGTAGACTCCCGAGGAAATGCGAAATGCGAGAGGGATACCAGTGGAGGGCCTGTCTCTCTCTCCACGGAGGGATTGGCGGAGGGATTGGCGGCTTAGCCGGTATGCAGGTGTGAGGAGCACAGGTGTGAGGGATTTGGGGTTTCAATTGACTCTAAGCTCCACCTGAACTAAAGGTGTGACCATTGCAAAGAGAATTCTTAGGGTATATCGGAGAAGGGGCAAACAACACCTGGGCTCAGTTTGTGAGGTTCGCCTGGGGGGGGGGGGCGGCCAGGGGGACAATATCCAAAGGGAAGTGATTAGGAGATTGTGGAGCTGCGTGTGAGAAATGGCTCTGAGGACGGGCAGCACAGCGGGAAGGAAGGCCCAGGAGGGCAGCCGGAGTTCATGGTTTGCACGATGAGGGAAGGAACTCTGTTCTTGGGATGCCCCTGGAGTAGACTGCAGCTCACAGCGAATTAGTGAGGCTGGCAGCTCTGCTCTTCTGCAAGTGGCCTCAGGGGACAGGGAAATCTTGGGTTCAGATCTGAGCAGGACAACTTGTTGGGGTGGGTCCACGTAAGCTAAGACCCCACTGTGTTCCTTGTGAGTCTTAGGGAAATGTCAGGATTGGCTAGAGGCACACTGACTTCTGCCTCTCCAGGATGTTTGGCAGCTCAGCCGCAGCTCCCGGGACAGCTATGTTCATCTTTGAACTGTGGGTCAATTTCTCAGGGCTGGATGTTATACTGTGGAAGAGATAACTTTTGTCCTTGTGGGGGATGGCCGATTGAGAAAAGGTTCCAGGGTTCATTTTCTCTGAGATAAGACCCTTCACCTGATTATCTGCCTGGATACTCTGACCCCAGCATGGCAACACTGCCCATTCCCAACTGCCTTGAACTTGGCCTGTCTACCCCACCAGCTCAGGGCTGTGGGGTTTTACAAAGCTGACAGGTGGCTGGGGGAACCCACAAGGGGATTGGGCCCCCAGCCTGGGAACAGATCCGTAGACGTGCGGTCGGATTCCCAACCCTGGTCATGCTTTTGTTACAGCCCGAAGCTTTGACCTGCAGAAGTCAGAGGCCATGCTCCGCAAGGTGAGTCCCTGCCGCCGCCACAGTTCCTCCCGCCAGTCGCATTGTGCCTGGACTTCTCCTCCCTACCCATCACCCACCCCTAGTATAGGTTTTGGTTTGTATGACATAGTTATTAGCCAACAATTGTTGCTTTATTCCTGAGGGACAAAGTGCACTTCCTTCCCTGGAAACATTGGACTTCCCTACTTCATAACTAGCCCAAAATGATGTTCTTGCTGATATATCTGAAGAAACTGGGGCCTCCTTTTCCACCCTTGTCCAGTTCCTTCTAGGGATCAACTATGCTGGTCACCTATTCAAGACCCCACCACCACCACACATCTATTCTTCTGCCTTGTGTTTCCTAAATCTTTGTGTATTTGCAGCATGTGGAATTCCGAAAGCAAAAGGACATCGACAACATCATCAGCTGGCAGCCACCCGAGGTGAGGACCAATTATCCCACTCCACCCCTGTGTGAGGATGCTTATTAGGCTCCCAGTCTGTACCCTGGTCTACTGGACCTGGAACCTCAAAGGGAGACACTATAGTTCCAAAACAGGTATTTCTTGACACCCGGGGGAGGGTATGAAGGGAGATACTTGTGAACCAGCAGAAGGGATGGATGTCCCGGGCCTGTCTATGAGATGCTTTTGTATGTCTTTGGCCAGGTGATCCAGCAGTATCTGTCAGGCGGCAGGTGTGGCTATGACCTGGATGGCTGCCCAGTCTGGTACGACATCATTGGTCCCTTGGATGCCAAGGGTCTGCTATTCTCCGCCTCCAAGCAGGACCTGCTCAGGACCAAGATGAGGGACTGTGAGCTGCTTCTGCAGGAGTGTGCCCACCAGACCACAAAGGTATGGTCTGTCTGCCATTGAGTGATTTGATCATGGCGAAGACAGTCAAGGGGAAGCAGGAATGTCACATAGGGATGGAAGCACCTGTCTCAGAGTTTGGGTTTCACAGACCTGAAATCTCAGGGTTTTAGATGAACATGCTACCAATCCATCTGTTCTCTTCTCTTCCCTTTCTTCCCTCCCTCCATCCCTTTGACTGAAGATTGAACCCAAGGTCTTGTGCACGTTAGGCAAGTTCTCCACCACTAAACTATGCCCCCATCTTGTCACACTTTCATTTTGCTAAGTAAAAACTTAAAATAACCTTCTATTGTTGCCATGGTGACTCCCCCAAACTGTAGGAATGGTGTATGTAGGGGAGATCCGAGACTAAACTGCGGTCCTTTACTGAAGACATCCGGTTTAATAAACGTCACTAGTGTGAGAGTTAGAGCCCAGCTGGTACAGTGCTCACCCCGCACATCCAGGGCTCCACCCCAATACAGCAGGGAGGTGAGTGGTATACACCTGTAATCCCATGATTCACAAGCCTGAAGTAGATAGCCGAGTGGTGGTGGCACACGCCTTTAATCCCAGCACTCGGGAGGCAGAGACAGGTGGATCTCTGTGTGTTCGAGGCCAGCCTGGTCTACAGAGCAAGTCCCAGGACAGGCTACAAAGTTATAAAGAAACCCTGTCTTGAAAAAACAAACAAACAAACAAACAAACAAGTCTGAGGCAGGGGGGTCTTGAATTTGAAGCTAGCCTGGGCTATGTAGTGGGACCTAAAAACAAACAACAGAAAACAAAAAACTATACATTACCACAGTTGGAGTTGTTGCTCAGGGACAGGCAGCTCACCTAGCACAGGCAAGGGCCAAGGTTTAATTCTTAGCACAACACCCCCAAAAAACAAGACAAAACAACAACAAAAAACCTCAGAAAACCACCTCACTACATTGTTACACTTTTCTTGTTTCCGTGGGAACCACTGAGATCCTGTCTTGGACTAAACTACCCTTGGGCAGCTATGGGGTGTGTGTGTGCCTGGGTGGTCCTCATGTAGACAAATCCAGGATCCCTGCTCCTCCAAGTTTATTTTCAAAGCATCAGGGTGACAATTCCCTGCTAGGAAAAAGACTGAGGCACTGGAGAGATGACTCAGCAGGCAAATGACTTGCTAGCAAACCTGAGAACCTACATGGCAGAAGAGGAGAAGCAATTCCCACAAGTTATCCTCAGAGCTGCACACCCCCACTGTGGCATGTACACACACACACACACACACACACACACACACACACAGTGGGGGGAAGGGAGGAAGGGATGGGGAGACAGACAGACAAATATAAACGTATTTTTTTTAAAAAAAAAGAAAGGAAGGACTGAGGAGCAAGCTGGAGCTGTGGCTAACCCCTCCTCCCCCAGCAGCTGCAGATGGGTTAAAGCAGTGCTGTTCTTTGCTGAGGTTCACAAAAAGTCCACCCAGTACAGAACCTGAGAGGCTGGGGACACAAACATGGTTCAACCTGCTGCTTCCTTAGAGCTTAGGTAGAATGGAGTGTCTAAGCCTACGGGAGAGGTGCTGCCCAGGGAGCACACAGTAACTGACAGGAGGACAGAGGCCATCAGGAGAACCTGCTGGACAGTAGGGACCTTGGATATGACCTTGATCCACCCTAGTCCTTTGCTAGAGGAGAATAGTTTGTCTAGGTCATAGTTCCACCCTGGATGACATCTGCATCTCTGCTGCTGTTGTTTGTACCCAGTGAGTATTCAGCGACTTCCTTCTGCTGTCTGTCTGTTCCCAGTAGCTAGGGAAGAAGATAGAGACCATCACCATGATTTATGACTGTGAGGGGCTCGGCCTCAAGCACCTCTGGAAGCCTGCAGTGGAGGCCTATGGAGAGGTAAGAGGCAGGGAGCGGGGGCAGGACTCACAGGTTGAAGGGCACAGTGGCCTGGAGGCCTGAGCTACTGAAACTAGGACCACTTCTGCTTCCACAGTTTCTCTCCATGTTTGAAGAAAATTATCCCGAAACACTGAAGCATCTGTTTGTCGTTAAAGGTAAGTTGGGAATTTCTGGTGATGGAGCCAAATATGAACAAGAGGCTGGAACCATTGCTTGGGGGCAGACTGAGTGAAGAGCAGCCCTTGACCTTAGCCTGTACAGATGCTTTACGGCTCCCAGAGCGTGTGAGCCACCTAGCCCCTTAGGATTCAGGCTGGTGATGCCGTAGGAGGAGACTGGTTGGCTACAATCCTTGTACAGCTTGGAAGCCAGCTTCAGACATGCCTGGCTGAGCCTCACGCTTAGCTGCCCCATGAGTGGAGATGGGTGGCTGATGACGCTGGCAGCATCTGAGTTACCGTTGTCTCTGCTTCACGTGGTCTTGCCTCTCTTCCAGCCCCCAAGCTGTTTCCTGTGGCCTATAACCTCATCAAGCCTTTCCTAAGTGAGGACACTCGTAAGAAGATTATGGTCCTGGGGGGTAAGTGGCCCAAATGCTACACATTGGTGTGTGTGGTCCAAACAACGTCTGGCTTTAGGGGTACGATCACAGCCTCCAGGGCAAAGACCTATCTTCTACTTTGGGAGTAGTTGGGACATAGGGGCAAGTGGAGACAGATCTGTGGCTTCTTGTGTTTCCTCACACACTCTAGAAGCAAGCACTGGGCTCACCATGCAAGTTCAAAGATGAACGGAATTCCAGGGCTTATCCTGAAGGGGCTTACAGTATTACAGGGAGAGACAACTGCAGAGAGAAGGCTATGGTATGAACCAGAAGACACTAGAAAGAGCATCAGGAGGGTGCGTGGAGATCATCTGGGGGCAGGCAGGAGTGAGTGGCTCCACTCCCACAAACACCTTTTCAGGACTAGGTGCCAGGCTGCCAGGATTAAGACAGTCCCTTGGCTAGCTCTCAGGGAAGGGGGACACAAACATGCTTGTCGGCGTGATACATAGGACAAGGGGAAACCACAGGGTAGTCACAGCTAGCAGCAACTCTCATCCCACCAGAGTTGAGGTGAGAGCCATGTCGACCTAAGCTACACACAGCAACATGAGCAAGGTGGCCACATGGAACAGAGCAGAAAGAGGAGCACCGAGTAAAGACCTCCCTTAGGATGGTGCAGGCAGCAGTCATGGAATGAGGCAGAGTGCCACAGAGTTACCATGGTCATATTTTCAATGGACTCATACCTACCAGCAAAAGTCCACGAAAGCCAGAGGCCAGTTTGCATGCCATGCTGTTGCTCACGCAAGAGATGGTGTAAACCTAGGAAGCAATGTCAGGGACAAGGAGGAAAGGCCGGACTTACAACTTGCCTAGGAAGCAAAACAGCAGAGATGGACTGGCCACAGAGAGGAGGTTAAATCACGAATAGAGGTGACTGTGCAAAATCTACTGATGCTGAGGATCCAGGAGTCTGCAGTGAGTCTGGGGGACATCCAAGTCCTAGTGTAGGCAGAGTAAGAGGAGCCCACTGGGGACCGTGAAAAGGCCAGAAGAAGGCATCAGATCTCATTACAGATGGTTGTGAGCCCCCATGTGGTTGCTGAGAAGAACAGCCAGTGCTCTTAACCTCTGAGTCATCTCTCCAGCCCCTTGGTTTGTTTCTTTACCTTTGGGCTAAGACAAAGCGAGAGTGGCAACTTTGGGCTGGAAAGGCGGTCAATGTCTAGTTTCCCAGCACCTTGGAGGTTGAGGATCTCCAGGTCCAGGTCTGTCTGGGCTGCATTCTAAGTTCAAGGCCAACCCAGGTTACTAGTGAGACCCTGTCTCAAAAACGACAACGTGGGCTGGTTCCATGGGTACAACACATGCTTGTTATACAAGGCTGATGACCTGAGTTTGACGCCTGATCTCACAGTGGAAGGAGAGAAACAACCCCCAAAAGCTGTTCTTTAGCGTCCACATTTATGGTTCCAACACACACATACATCAGACACAAAAGAACAAGAAAACATTTAAGATACCTCAGGACTAGGGAGGTAGAAGGTTGAAACTACACAGTGAATTCCAGGTCAGCCTGGGTTACACAGTGAGACCCTATTCCAAACCAAAGGACGTCAGGACTGGGGCGGTGAAGTCCCAGCTTTGGCTGTGGCCGACGCTGTTCTGTGTAGGACGGGAAGACCTCTCTTGATTTTCTCCCAGCTCTCCAGCTCAGCTGGGAGAAGAACAAAATCAGCGCAATAGGTTTTTCTGGGTTTTGGTTTTTCTGTTGCTACCACCCACCAAGTGCGTGAGTGAGGCAGTTTGGTTCCCTGGCAGCAGAGCTGTGTAGGAGGTTCAGGCTGTTCTCCTACCCACACTTCAAATTCTTTCCACCAAATGTGCTTTGGGCAGACTGGGAAGAAAAAGGATCTCCAACAGAGGAGGGGTCAAAGTTACTCCAGGTTGGTCACGGAGTTTAGCAGTGCCAATGAAGTCACCCCAAGGCCACAGGCACCATGTTCTCAAGAGTCACGTGCTTTGGGGTCCTAAACACCTGAGGGCTGGCAGACACAGGATTGTCAGTGTCCCAGTCATCTATGCAGAGGATACAAGGCTAGTCCCTGGCCTGGAGCTGCTTGGTATAGATGGTCTATACAGTCGGCGTGGCTTCTGAGATTAAACATTGTGCCAGGCTGGTATTTCTTGGGGAAATGATTCTTGGCAGCAGACACTTGAGAGCTAATTGCTCCAATAGGGAGGGGATTTAGTTAGAAAAGCAACAACAAAAGCAGTCAATCAGGGCTGGAGAGATGGCTCAGTGGTTAAGAGCATTGCCTGCTCTTCCAAAGGACCAGAGTTCAATTCCCAGCAACCACATGGTGACTTACAACCATCTGTAAAGAGGTCTGGCGCCCTCTTCTGGCCTTCAGGCATACACACAGACAAAAAAAAATTGTATACATAATAAATAAATAAATATTTTAAAAAAAAAAGCAGTCAACCAGCCCAAAACAACAAGAAGAGACATGAAGTTGACTGGGTAAAGCCACGTAAGCCCATTTGAGGGGTCCTTCTCCAGTGGGGTGCTTTCAGTCAGTGTAGGAGAAAATAACTGCATAACTGTGTAAGAACCCGTAGTCTTGCTGCATGACACCCCCACCCCACTTTTGGTCCCCACCCACTATGACAGCAGCCCAGGGTTTCTGAACCCCGGCTCTTTCTGACGCCGTGTAGTACTGTGGACGCATCATATGCTCACGAAGTACTCCATTTTCCCCCAGACACAGTCTCACTATGGAGCCAAGGCTGGCCTCACACTAATGGTGCTCCTGCCTGCAGTCCCTTGGGTGACGCGTGCACCATGCGAGCCTGTAATGCTTCCTTTTAAGGCAGGGCCAGCCTTCTCTGCCTCTTAAGGACTGACCGCCAGGTACGAAGTCCTGCCTAGTGACACATTTTTGTCCTTCCCTCTCCTGCCAGCAAACTGGAAGGAGGTTTTACTCAAACATATCAGCCCTGAACAGTTGCCTGTGGAGTATGGAGGTACTATGACCGACCCTGATGGAAACCCCAAGTGTAAATCCAAGGTATGGGCCAGCAGCTGGAGGTCAAGGGGGAGTCTTTGCTCAGAGGGCACCCCGACTCATCCTGTGCTCTGCTTCTAGATCAACTATGGCGGTGACATCCCCAAGCAGTACTATGTGCGAGACCAGGTTAAGCAGCAGTATGAACACAGCGTGCAGATCTCCCGAGGCTCCTCCCACCAAGTGGAGTATGAGATCCTCTTCCCTGGCTGTGTCCTCAGGTAACTGCCTGCTTCCCGGGATCCCAACCTTTGTCAGTGCCAGTGGGTGGGCTGCAGTGCAAGAAGCCCAGTTGCCATGGACACACACACACACACAGGTGGATGTCCTCTGCAGGTGGCAGTTTATGTCGGAGGGATCAGACGTGGGTTTTGGGATTTTCCTGAAGACCAAGATGGGGGAACGGCAGCGGGCAGGGGAGATGACAGAGGTGCTGCCCAACCAGAGATACAATTCCCACATGGTCCCTGAGGATGGGACCCTCACCTGCAGTGAGCCAGGCATCTGTAAGTATCTGGGTCTTGGCAACACATGAAGCCCGCCCATACCTTTCTGCTTATGACACGCCTCTTCCTCTCTTCCTCAGTGCGCTGGTCACCTTAGTGTCAGAATAGGAAGGGGTACTCTGTCTCATGACACAGAGCAGGAAAACTAGATTTGGAAAGATGCAGTGACTTCCTTAAGGGGGTCAGATAGTTAACAGCAGGGCGGGACTCTCACTGATATTCCCAAGTAGAGGCGATTGCCATCAAATCCAGGGAGTACGGGACTTCAGAAGTCCGGCTTTTGGGCGCTGGGCATGGTGGAGCACACCTGTAATCCCAGCATGTGGGAGGCTGAGGCAGGACTGCAAGTTGGGGCCAGCCCGGGCTGTACAGGCTTTCTCCAAGGTTAACTAGGCCTGAGACATCAGTCAGACATTTTTTAGGGATGCCTGTCCCCTTAGAAGTCAGAGGCAGAACTGACTGTGTGGGTGTAAGGATTTCACAGGGCACGGCATGCCAAAAAAAAAAAAAAATGCCAGCCTTAAGCATCCTGAACACCACTCACTTCTAGGTAGACACAGGACGTGAGAAGGCAGCATACACAGGACAAAAGGGCTTACAGGGGCTCATGTGGTGATGGCTAAAACCCTTTAGACCCAGAATTCTACTTCTGAAATGTGGCCTACAGAAACCTTTACAAGAAGTTCCTAGCAGCCCGTAAAGCCAGTGAGTGACACAGCACATGGCCACAAGAAGGTCCATCCACACAACAAAACATGCAGTCATTAAAGAGAACACACCGACAGTTAAGATGTTACTTCATGTTAAGCAGGTAAACATGAAATACAGTGTGTGTGGTATATAAGTGTGTAAATAGAAAGGAGTTCTGGGAAATCCACACTAACTTGAGGGCAATTGGGCTGACAGAGGGAGTTCATTTTCCTCTATTTCTGCAAATATATTTTACAGTGTATTCTAGGGTAGTGGAAAAAGCACCAATGTATGCACACAAGCCAGACAATTTCTAGTTTCCTGACAGAGCCAGGAGACGAAGGGTAGAAAAGCGAGGAACAAGGGCATTATGCTCCGATCTGAGCTGGACTTGACCATTGGCTGTGTGTGGACTTGGGCAAATGACTTGGCCTTCCTGAGGGTGGCTCCTGATTGCTGCAACTGGGAACTTGCAGAGATGCCAGGTTCTATGCGATAAGATCCGTGAGGCCATGGGCATGATGCCAGAAATAGAGCATGCGACTCAGCACCGACAGCCATCTTTATTACTATTATTAGGGTAACTAGGAGAGCAGGACTGTCTCCAGAGATGGCAGCATCCCTGCTGAGGCTGCACCTCTGAGAGCAGCACTAGCCCCGCAGAGATCTGCTCCTTCCTTCCCGTCCAGCAGCCTGCGGTGCTGGTGCTCCCTCCCTAGGGATACACCACACCGGGCGGGCGGGCGCAATCTGGCTCCCTGAGGAGCAGGATCATTCTTGTTAGTGAGCAGCCCGAGTCACAGGGGCAAGCATACTCTGCGCTGCACCGAGAACAAGGATTGGCACAGCCCAGGCATTGCCATCCACAAGGGAGAGAGCACTTTATCTCTTCAGAAGGAGGCTGAGGCATAGACAAGATGTCCTTTCCCATCACGTAGCTAATGTAGATGCTGAGAAAGGACACTAGAGGCTCCTAGTCACAGACTGAGGAAAAATTAAGACATTTATCCTTGCTGTGACGAGAGTCCCAGATCAAGGAAGTACGGGGTAGCAGGAGGCCAACACTGTTCATCTGAAGGATAAACAGCCTTTAATACAGCAGGATGGGAACTGCAAACCCTCGTTTACTTCAGTCCTTCCTGGATCTGTTCCCCTTACCTGCCTGGGATCTGCTTATTTGCTGGAGGAGCAGAGGCAGGCCACAGGATAAAATTCCCCTTTCCAGATGGAAAGGCAGGGAGGTAGGGTCAGATGTCACTAGGAGGCAGGGTTGTTGAGATCTAGAGATCCAAGGGCAATGCCTCTGAGGACCAGGTGACCCTGCAAAGTGGAGCATGATCACCCCAGAGAGAATTAAATCTTTGGGTATGTCAGCTTCAAATGGTGCAAACACAACCTTCCCTGGGCCTCTCTGCCCCTTGCTCAGGTGGACTGAGGACAGGCCAACATTTGGGTGGGTTTCACCTTCTCCCAATTACTTTTTGAGAGCCTACTGTGTGAAATGCTCAACTAGGGATGGAAAGAATGAAGAAAACAGTGAAATGGACTTTGAGCAGTGGATAGGAAGGTCTGAAACACTGTAGGAAGGGGTCAGGCAGTGCTGGGAGAAGAGGCTCGCGAGGCATGGATGCTGAGAATGTCTAACTTTGCCACCACCTCTCCCAGAGGGCTCCCAGCAAGTGTCTCTCCTTCACCATAAAATGCGGGAAGTAGGCTAGAGCAGATTTCCTTCTGGAGTCCACGGACGCCCCAGAGAAGTGGTTCCGAATCTAAGAACCAACACTGCCCTCTCATAAATAATGTCTATTGTTCCCATTACTCACAGACAATGTAATCCACCTATGCATATCATTTTAAAATCAATATACTCCGGGAGCTGGAGAGATGGCTCAGAGGTTAAGAGCATTGCCTGCTCTTCCAAAGGTCCTGAGTTCAATTCCCAGCAACCACATGGTGGCTCACAACCATCTGGAATGAGATCTGGTGCCCTCTTCTGGCCTGCAGTCATACACACAGACAGAATATTGTATACAAAATAAATAAATATTTAAAAAAAAATCAATATACTCCAACCCGTAATATAAAATAGAAACGAGGAAGTCAGTTTGAATATAATAATTATTATGAAGTAACAAGGATTTAACCCAGGGCTTCCTGCATGCTAGGCAGGTGCTCTAACCCCAAGCACCAGAGCTAGAATTTATACATTTTACTACATATATGAGAGGCAAGATGGCACCTACTTCCCTAAAGAACAGCGTCTTTCTCTTTGGGACACTGGCCCTGAAACCTCAAGGTGCTCCAAGGGGCCAGTCACCTAACACATGCTGAGACGCCCTTGACTGGAGGGCCTCCAGGGACTCCATGAGCCTTTGAATACATGACCAGTGTCACCCTGTGCCACACAGACCAACGAGCTGTAAGACTGCCCTTCCCTATGCCTGTGCCTCCTACAAAGCCCTTCCTTGTGTTCGAGGGCAGATTTTTTGCCGAGCAAAGCATCTCAATCCTGGTCCAAGGAGATCAAAGGACGGTGGACTCTGGTTGCCCAGAGGAGGGGAGTGTGGGATCTGCAGGACCTCTGGTAGAGACGGGAATCAGATGACTGACACCATGAAGTGTCAGGGAAAAGGAGTGGGCGCTGTGCGGACTGCTGGCCCAGTGCAGTTTATCTCGGGGTGAGAAGTCAGATGCTGGGAAAGTGAGAAAGGAGCAGCGCAGAAGGGTGGTACTGCTGCTTCTGTTTTCGGGCTTAGCTGTCCTGAAGGGGCATCTGAAGGAGATAGGACAAGCTTGCAAAGAGGCAGAGTTAGAGCGAAAGCAAGCCTGTTCAATGGCCAGGACTTAGACGCCGTCCCTGCCAACTGTGTCCATGCTCCTTCCTAGAGGACACACAGCCCACAGCCTCCTCACCCACCAGCCTGCCAAACACTGCCCATCCCTTTAGAGGCCTGACTCTATAGCAAGCCTGCCAGGCACTGTACAGTCACATATGCAAGGAGCATGCCCATATTCAGTGTATGTTTGGAGAAAGCTGGACAGTGTGTGAGAAAACCTTGCCTCCAGAACAGTGCCATTCCTGGGTGCTACCACCAGAGAACCTCCAACTGTAGACATACCCTCCCCCCCCCCCCCAGTTATTTTTACATATAAATTAACAAAAGTGTTACAAACTGTTCTGAAGTTTATTTTGGCTTCTGTATGTATCTTAGACACCACCACCATTCTCCCCGCCCCCACTCTGTCTGTGTAGCTCAGTCTGGACTCAACAGTATATAGCCGAGGCTGGTCTTGAATGTCCTTACCTTCCTAAGTGTTGCGGTTACAGGTGTGTATCCCCATGGCCAGCTAAGCTCTTTTTTTTTAATATCAGAACAGTGTTCCAGAAGACAGACTACAACACAAATTGCTCAAGCAACTCTCCTTTGATGAGCAGCCCATACTATTATAATAATATTATTACTATTATTTTATTATTATGGGCAGGCATGCAGTGAGCACCCTTTGCCCCATTAATCTTCCCAGAGGGAAAGCACCTGGTTCATAAATTTTGCAGAGAAATGGAATGGGCTGGGCTTCCCAGGATCCAAATCAGGCAGGAGTATGGACAGGAAGGCAAAGCAGAGGGAAAGCCCACCCCACCATTGCCTCACTATGCGACGTAAAACCCTTTCCGCTGATGCCAAGTAGGACCACTGCTGAGTTCAGAGCTGCAGTGAGGAAAAATGTGACCACAGAGATAGAGCACAAACCCTGTGCTTTCCCACACAGACGTCATCGCCACACGTCAGCCTGGTCTAAGGAATCCATGGCTGCTGGTCTTGAAGGCCTTTTCCTTCCGAGCTCTTACAGACCTGAGTCTCTCTGTTACCCATCTCTCTAGGCCTGTGCTGTGCCATACAGTTTTCTTCCACTTTATGAACACAGTGTCAACCCCGTGAGACTGAGTTTCAGAAGGTCCAGTACTTTCCCCTCCATCCCCTAGCACACCCTTGCTCAGTCAGTAAAATCCAGCCCTGCTCAACTCCCTTCGCCTCCTGGCGGGAACTGCCTGAACGTTTCCTTTTCTGCTCCCTCAGACGTCCTGCGCTTTGACAACACCTACAGCTTCATCCATGCCAAGAAAGTCAGCTTCACTGTGGAGGTCCTGCTTCCCGACAAGGCAGCAGAGGAGAAGATGAACCAGCAGGGGGCAGCCACGCCCAAATAACAGCTCTCGCCTGCCCCCCTCAGAGCCTTCCTGTCGGTTGTTTCTTTGTAGTAGCGACTTTCCTACAACCTAGTAGCCCTAAGAAACTGGGGTGGAAGGAAGACTTCAGACTGCACAGGAGACTCAGGCCAGAATCCAAAGAGGACAAATAGCTAGGGTGGGTCCTTGTCATCAGACTGCTAAGGGGGTCTCCAGAAACTGGCTCTAACTATGTCTACCCTGGAGACCTGCCAACTTCACCTGCCCAGTGACAGCTAAGTCAGGGAGAGGAGGGGTACACAGGATGGCAGCAGGGAAGAAATTAGAAAGAAGTGAAGAGATTGGGGTGCCACACTCAGGGAAGTCAGCTGCTGGGAAGACATTTGCTCCTAAACGAACATGGAACAAACCTCCATGATCGTAATGATGGTTGCAAAGGAGCAGGCTGCTAGGCACAGGATTGGAATCCCCCCCTCTTCCAAACTTTTGTAAAAGGCTTGAGTATTTCCCCGCCCCCTCCCCAAGTCTCAGGAGTAACCCAAGTCGGCACTGGAAGGCAAACAGAGGGGCCTCTCTCCCCTAGAGAACCTCGCCAACTCCTGGGCCCCACTGGCTGCTTGTTTAGTTCTAATGGTTGCCAGTGACCCAGTGTTCTGTGGAACTTTGGTACCTGGCCACTGCTGTCCAGTGAAAGAGAAACCTTCCAAAAGCACAAGGGTAATTGCCTTCAGGAATGACAGATCTGAAAGGGCCCAGGAGGCCGTGGGTGGGTCCTAAGCCTCTAAGTAAGCCTCCACTTGAGCAACCCTACACAAAAACGGGAAGTGGGAGTGACCAGCACACAGACAGCCCTTCCCAGTCTGAGTCTCCCACAGTGCCTGGGAACCGGTCTTCCGACTGACCTGGGAGAGGGCTCGGCAGGTCCTTCTCTGTGGAAGCAGTAACGGCAGGGGAGCGGTGGGTTCCTCTTGCCTCTAAACGCTGGTAGCCAGGGAAAAGGGGCGGCCACAGGCGACCTTGCAGTAGCAGCTCTTGACCCTACACACCTTGCGAGCGAACGCCAGGTTACGGTTACGGACTGCCCAGAATTCTGGAACGCGGCCCCAGGCCCTTGCGGGGACCCCCTTTCCCCTCGGAATAAGACCCCGGCCCAGCCTGAGTACTCGTTCACCAAGCAGAGGAAGCTCTGTATAGGTGCAGGGCTAGCGACCAGAGAGGGCCGAGGCTACCCAGGATCTAGTCACACACCTCAGGAACATTTCCTGGCCTTGGTTTACAATGCTGTTAGGTACATTAAAGCAATTTTCAAATCAAAGGAAGTAGAATTCACTGCCTATCGCCGGCTTCCTAGCGGTCTCTACACTAGGTCCAAACACACACACACAGAGAGAGAGAGAGAGAGAGAGAGAGAGAGAGAGAAGGGGAGGGGAGGGGAGGGGAGGGGAGGGGAGAGGGAGAGAGAGAGAGGAGGGGAGGGGAGAGGGAGAGGGAGAGGGAGAGAGAGAGAGAGAGAGAGGTTCTGATCCTCTCCTCTCGCGTGAACTTTCCACGAAGTTGTCTTCTGACTAGCTCAGCCACGGAGTGTCGTCCGCCATTTTTGTTTATGGCATGAAGATGCTCCCGACAGCCTTCACGGTGAGGGCGGAGACCCCGCCCCATTCGGTGGTTCCGGACGTACGGGGTGGTTCGTTCGCGCCGAGCGGCGAGGGCGAGCGTTTGCGGCGTGAGCAACGGGTACTAAAAGGGAGGGAGGCTGCGGATTAGCGTCACGTGGTTTTAGGGACCGTCTTCTAATTCCACTCCAGCACTACCGGTGTTTCAGGGCCTGCAGACAGATCTACCTTTCCCACCCGTGCCGGCACCGGGCCCTGTCCCCACTGACACTCAAGATCCTATGAGGACACAGGCTGAAAACGGTGTCTTCCACAGGGAGTCGGTATCAACCTTTCAGATCTTTAGTCACGGGTTAAAAAGAAAAAAAAAGGCTACAAGAGCAGTACAGAAACCCTGCTCTTTAACTACCTGGAATTGTTGCAAAGATTTTTTTTTTTTTTTTAAATACGTATCCCAGGCCAAGCCTGGAACTCCCTATGTAGACAGTCTGGCTTCAAACTCAAGTAATGCCGCCTGTTTTGCCTCCTAAATTTTGGGATTAAAAGCATTCGCCACCATGCCTGATTTTTGAAAATATTTAGCACGCGTGTGTGGATGCCTCTGGAGGCCAGAAGTGTCAGATCCCCTGAAGGTGGAGTTACAGGTGGCTGGGCGCCACCTATGTAGGTTCTGGGAACCATGAGTTAGTCTCTGGAAGGGCTGGAGGCGCTATTAACTACTGAGCAATCCCCCCCCCCCCCCCCCCCATTTTGTTTTACTGACTTGGACACTTGGGATTTGGAAAGGAGGTGGCTAACATCTACAAGGTGACACAGCAGGATTTGTCTCCAGGGGCCACACCGTTGCCTCTGATGTCCCAGAGTGCTTTTCCCCTGCAGGGAAAGGGCTCATAATAACTAATCCCCCAACTCCCTCCTCCTTTTTATTCTGCTCTTTTCCCTGGAGTTTAGTATGCTGAAGCCTTGGCTCCTGGCCTCATTAGTGCTCATTCATGTGATGTTTGGCCCCCAGGAAGATCCAGTTAGATGCTGCAGAGGAGGGACTGGGGTTCTCGGCTCCCACCTCTCCAGAGCACTGACCATCAACTCTCCCCGGCGCGTTTACCGAATCCACTTTTAGAGCACGGGATCTGAAAACACCTAGTCTAGATTCAAATCCGTTTCTTCACCTTTCAGTTGTGTGAGTCAGGAGAGAGACCTTTCTCTCTGTGCCTCTAATACCCCTCTGTAAAACAGGACCCAAGGCTAGTGCAAGAGCTTAAGGAGGCAAACCAAGCGACTGAACAATACCTGAAGACTGTTTTAATTAGTCCTCATGACTGGCTAGGCAGTGTGAATGCTGGCATGCCTCCCATTTGCACAGGAACTGAGGCTCAGAGAAATACACCTTTGCTACAAGTCACACAGCTAAGAAGACAACATCCTCCGAATGGAACCCTGATCTGTTTAGCTACAAAAACTAATCATGCCTGAGAGAGTTTTGCAGTAGCTGTTCGGAGAAAACACGACTATCTGCAAAATCCAAGCCTAGGAGAGGGGCTTGGGTGTACAAGGCAATTTTCAGACACTCCCTGCAGTGGCGATAGCCCGACCTGTCCTTCAGCCTCGGACTTCTGGCGGGTTCTTTCCTGGTGTTAGCCCAGTGCTACTGGGAAAGGAGGCAATGGTGAGGCTCTAACTTGCAGTGATTCGCACCGTGCTGGGAAAATCATGTCGGAGCAGCAACGGCAAGGAGCCGAGCGCGACCTCTACCGGGACACGTGGGTGCGCTACCTGGGTGAGCGTGGGAGTGAGAGACTCAGCGACCCCATCACTCTGGGAAACAGTAGTCGTGGGATGCGGATCTGGAGTCTGAAGGAAAAGGTTGGGCAGGAGATTGGGCTCAGGACAGGACCAGGGACTTGTCCAAGGTCACACAGCACTCTCTCCGCGGGTCTCTGCTGGAGGCACAAGCCGCTGCGTGGTTTGCCGTCTGTGATGATGAAGCACTAGCCATGGGGTCAGAGGATCTGGATTCCTACAGCCTGCCATCCCTTGGTGCTTCCTGAGCCTCAGTTTCCTCTTTTGCAAAAAGGGCTGAACACGAGGCATTGTCGGGTGCTGATTTTAAGAGTTGACTAGCCTGAAAGGCCTTGACACTTGTTAATTGTCAGTGGAACCCACCCGTCTGTCATTGGTGCAGATTCCCAGAACCACAGCTAGGGGTCTCTGATCAACAATGAGCTATGAACTTCTTTGTTGGCGTCAGTCCACAACCCCGAAACCAAAAGGTAAAGTCACTTGACTTAGATCACCTGCCCCATTGTAGTTTAGCAGACTAGGATTAGAAGCAGCTCTCTGTATAGCGCCCCCTCGTGGAACAGCCTGCGGGCTGGAGAATTAACTGCCTTTTCCCTCCAGGCTATGCTAATGAGGTGGGGGAGGCTTTCCGCTCCCTGGTGCCCAAAGCTGTGGTGTGGCTGAGCTATGGCGTGTCCAGCTCCTACGTGCTTGCTGATGCCATTGACAAAGGCAAGAAGGCAGGAGAGGTGAGTGCTAGTTCACCCTTCCAACTCCATCCTGGTGTGGGTCAGTGTGCAGCCTTGCATGTGGGACAGTCCTAGCCGTGTTAGCATCCTGCGGTCCATAAGCTAACCCTATTTGTAGGCTAGTTCATCCCCACCTGACCAACCCACATGGGTTGGAAGTGGCAGTCAGTACTTCTGGATGTCGGCAAGTCATCCTCGACCCTGAGTGTAGCCCAGAGTCCCCCTCCCAGCTTCCTTCTGCCCTGCCCCTCGTTCCTCCTCCCCGCTCTGCCCTCATGCTTCTGCCTATTGGTTTCCTGCTTCTGCTCCAGCTGGGTTAAATGTCTTTGTATCTACCAGGTGCCAAGCCCTGAAGCCGGCCGCGGCACCAGAGTGACCCTGGCTGTGGTCGACACCTTTGTGTGGCAGTCTCTGGCCTCTGTGGCCATCCCAGGCTTCACTATCAACCGTCTGTGTGCTGCCTCTCTCTATGTCCTGGGCTCTATGACCCGCTGGCCCCTGACTGTCCGCAAATGGACCACCACCACACTTGGGCTGCTGGCCATCCCCGTCATCGTCCACCCCATTGACAGGTATGTGTCTTCGGCCTGCAGGTAGAGTTAGGCTTTGAGAGCTGTGGGCGCAGAACCACAGCATCAGAGGCAGGGCAGAGGAAGTAGAGAGGGCATCTGTACCCTTGTCATAGGATGTAGCAGATACTTTGACCATGTGGGTGCTGGGAATTGAACTCAGGACCTCTGAAAGAGCAGCCAGTGCTCTTAACCTCTGAACAATCTCTCCAGCCTCCAGAAATACATTTTAAAAAAAGAACTAGATGTATGTATCAATCCAAATAGACCAAGATATAGTATGAGCAGAGGTCTGGGGGTGGGGTGGGGTGGAGCATAACTGACCCTGAGTCTCACAGTGAGTGCTTTATCCACCTTGCCTCAGTTTCCCCAACTGTAGAAAGAACAGGAAGATGGTTGTTATTCTCAGGGGGTTAGGTTTGACTTTCCTAAGTAGCCCAAGTGGGAGGAGAATGGTAAAATGGGGCCCAACCTGGTTGCTGTTGGTACCCTGTATCTAGGACTCTTTCCCTAAAGTCCAGTGTGTTTCCTCACTCTTAGCTACCTGCTTACCGTGTCTTCTCTTCTTGCAGGTCAGTAGACTTCCTCCTGGATTCCAGCCTGCGTAAACTGTACCCATCGGTGGGGAAGCCCAGCTCCTCCTGACCCGGCCTGTGCCCTGCCCATGACTGGCCCGCTCACATCAGAGAATGTGGACACTTGGCTGTTTGGTGTCCATGACACTGGCATCCAAGTGGGTTCAAAGTAACGGATGCTTAGAGACAAAAACCTTGAGGAGTGTTAGCTGCAGTGAGTCCCAGAGGTGGGACCTGACCCTGTGGTTGTACTGAGTGGGAGTTGACGCTGGCTGGGCATGTGTTCTGAAATATTTTTTAAGTATTTATTTTATGAGTATAAGTGTTTTAGCTGCATGTATGTGTGTTTGTGCACTACCCTTGGAGGTTTAAAGAGGTCACTGGACCACCTGAAACTGGAATTAGGGACGATTGTGAGCCACTATGTGGGTGCTGAAAACTGAACCTGGTTTCTTTGCAAGAGCAGCCAGTGTTCCTAACCACAGAAGTACCTCTCAGCCTCTAGACCTATCTTCTGATGAAAAAGTTAGACCCTCCCATGGAAGAGAAGGCCACTAAAGCCCAGAGAAGACATGGGATACTCCTAAGGTTATGGACAGCTGAGGACCAGGCTGTCCAGATGCTCTAGGTCACTTTGTGGTAATGTGGCTGAGTGACTTAGGGAAGAGCACAGAGGTGCAGCCTTTGGGACACTCAGGATAGAGTCTCTGGCCAGCCCATCCCCGCTGCAGGAGCTGTCGGGGTCTGGTTGGGAGGCAAGACAATCATACACCAAGTGCTAGTCCAATAAACCCTTAAGCAATGGTATTTTCTTTTCTTCATTGGGAAAAGTAGGGATGCAACCACACCAACAGCATTGAAGGAGAAGTGGGCTGGTTTCCTGGCTCTACCAGAAGGGGTGTGGGGAGAACAAGGGAGGGATGTTCCCAAGCCTGTTCAAGAGGAATATCAGATCCAACGAACCAAAAAGGAAGGGAGGGAGGAAGGAAGGGTCTGAAATGAAGGTTTAGGTGGGGAGAAATGAGAGGGT